TTCACTATTATATTCCCAATGCCTAGAACAGTGCCTGGAACATAATACTCATTGAACAAATATTTGTTGTTAAGTAGGTGAAGATGAGTTCCATACACTTCCTAGTGGACATCTTTGTAAGATTAACCAGGAGGTCTGGACACATGTCCTACATGGGCTGAGTAAGATGTGCTGTGCTATGCTTAAAAAATGAAAATAAAAATAAAGGAAGAAAGGAACGTAGCCTATAGTCCTCAGAAGAGAGATGACAAAGGACAGAAAACCTTATTTTACTTTGAAACAATTGTTCTTTAATACACATTTGTTTAATTGACTTTGTTTTATCAATATCACACATTTTATTCTTTTCATTGTAGCAATAGGTCAAAATGGCAATTTGCATATTCTTCCTATCGTATTTAATATCACTTTTTTCTCCCTCAGAAAACAACAATATTTGTAATAATTCGCTCATTCATAATCCCATTTAGTTAGTGTAAATGTGGAAAAATTCATCCTCTAAAAAAACTGATTCTACAGACATCACAAAAACAATTTCAACATCTAAAATGAGTGCAAATTCAGCAAGAAGCTTTCTTTCAAATTCAGTATTTAATTCAAGCATATGGTATATGTTTTCATGACAATTTTGTATTAAAATGCCTGGTGTGTTCATTAACCCTCACCAATAATATATTTTTCTCAGAGCCAAATTTACTTTCAACTCTCATGCTCTTAATAATGATGCATAACATAAAACAAATGTGTTCATATTTGACAGTTCCTTCCAATCTTCACCAGCCCGGTAAGAATATATGATACCCCCCATCAAAAATAATTGTAAGAGGGATCCCGCTACCAGCGCTGGTACCCGCCGCGGCTTGCGAGCCGGCGCGGGCGGCGGTTCCAGTCGCCGACGCTTCAGGGCCAGGCAGTGCCGGCCGCTGCAGATGATGGAGGAGCAGTGAGCATCACCGTGGCCTTGTGGAGCTCCAAAAGATTAGTCGTGGACATTCAGAAAACAACAATTTCCTGAACAATAACAACCAAATGGTATTGGACATGATCCTTTATCCATCAATTGGAATCCATCAGACCATCAACTGGGAAACTGTGGCAAGGCCTGTGCCTGGCTTAACACCCAAAGAATGTGCAAAGAGGTTTGATGAACTGAAGAGCCGTGGAAGTTCACCTGTCGACAACCAGTATAGCCCCCTAATGGCTGCTGGCGAGAGCCCTGTTGAAACTTTAGCCACCTGTATCAAGTTCTCACTTCTTAACACACAGGGAGAATTTCAGGAGACTCCAGTTGGTCAGGACGCAGCTTCTAAAACAGGCCAAACACGGTGATCCATGTATGTGATGAAGCCAAAAACTTGAAAGATTTTATTTGCTCATGAGATCTTTTGATATCAGAAATGAATTTCTTTGCTTAATCTTTATCTATGGATGCCCAGCGCTGGAAAGAGGTGAACATTTCAGTTCATTGTGACGTTCACATTTCAACTGGTTGATAAAATATGTTAAAAGGAGCACTAAGGAGAATAAAGATTGTGAGATGCCCACTTTAGAGCCAAGAAATGTCATTTCAATTCTTATTTCTTCAGAGTTTTTGAAAATGGATTTATTGGTTGAACAGTGTATTCACAACAACATGAATGCCATAGTAGCTACCCCATGCAACATGAACTGTATTAATGCAAATCTTCTTACACATATAGCTGATCTTCAACACAATGAAGCTGACGACTTAAAGGACAAGAAAGATAAGTTTAGGAGTAAACTTTTTTGTAAGAAGATTGAAAGACTGCTTGATCCTGAATATTTGAATCCAGATTCTCGGAAAAATGCAGCAACATTATACAGATGCAGTTTGTGTAAGAAGCTTTTAACAAAAGAAACAGAAAGAATTCCTTGCATTCCTGGAAAAATCAACGTGGGTCAACGTGGAAATATTATCTACATTCACATAAGTGATAAGACTTGGGATGTTCATGAGTATTTGAATAGTCTTTTTGAAGAACTAAAATCTTGGAGAGATGTATATTGGTACTTGTGGGGAACAGTCAACTGGCTAACTTGTTCAAGATGTTATCAAGCTTTTCTCTGTACAGAATTTTCACATTGTCAGTATCACTCAGAAACAGTGATTTATCCTACTGCAGGAAGTTCACTGAGTACCTTTGGCACTGGAATTTATCCCTGCTATAACCAAAAGGTTCTTTGGTTCGACCCCACTCAGCTTACAAAGTAAGGGACCACATGGTTGCTCTTCATGATCAAGGTGAGGGTAAAGATTTGCTGTCTTGTCCAACTGCTAGAATCCTGGACGATCTGCACAAACACACAGAAGTCATTCTTGCGCCTTTTGCTAAAGACACAGTTAGTGATTCTGGGGTTGGTCTCCGTGATGAAAAAGGTCTAGACTGTGATGTTTTACTGGAACCAAATACACCATGGGGCCCCAAGAGTGGGGAGCTCAAAGCTTTCTTGTCACTGAAAAACTGGACTCTGCAACTGAAACAACAGTCATTATTTTCAGAAGAAGAAGAATATACCACTGGATCTGAGGTCACTGAAGTTGAAGTTGGAGATGAAGAAGAAGTATCCAAGAAACAAAGGAAAAAGAAAAAGCCAAAGAAGTTCACTAAACAACCAAAAAAACAGATGTCTTCACCCTGTGGTCAGAAGAAAGAAAAGGCATTGGAGAAGTCAACTTCTAGAGATGTGTCTCCTTTCACTGTGAGTATGCAGAAGAATAAGTGGGATGCCACAAGATCCTTGAGGTTCAATCAAGATGCACAAAGAGAAGATGATCAACGGCAGGTGTCTGAAATTACCAGGCACCTAATAAAGATGAGATTGGGTGACCTGGACCGAGTCAAGTCAAAAGAAGCAGAAGAATTTGCAGGAGGCATTTACTCCAGGTTTGAAGCACAAATCAAGGCCTCAGTGCCAGTCACTGCACAGCAGAGCAGCTCAGAGAAAAGCACAAGGTCTAAAAGTCATTTTGGTCAAGGTCGTCCTGTGTAAATCACCTTAAAATATACCTAAGATGAGAGAAGACACACCTGTGGACGTCTGGAATTGCGTACTTCTTGAAGATCTTCAGAACAATGACTTCTAAATATTTTAAATTATGTTAATTATTCTTGCAAGTCACATAAGTCATAGTGCTAAGGGAAATACATAGTTAGGTCTTATGAAATCTAATTATAAATATGAAACTTCTAAAATCTAATTTTCCTTTGATGTGATGCTAGGCTATGTTAAGACTACTAATATTTGTTATCTTTATTTATTTGAAAGAGAAGAAGCCTAAACTCTCAAAGTAGCTAAGAGATTTTAGACTGAATAATTAGGGGAACAAAGCTGATTGTAGTACTGTGCATGTGCACTGATGATGGTGTCTTTTGGGCTGTAAATCTCAGGATAGCACTGAGAACTGCAATTTGTGTGATGAAGTTTCCAGTGATGCTAATTTTAAGTTTGCATGACTGTTAAGGAGCAACAGATCTTAAGACTGCGTTAAATAAAGTTTCAAGGGGAGGTAAAATGATAATAATTAATAATAATAATAATAATAATTTTAAGAGGAATATAACTTAGGGAGTAGAATTATCTTCTTCAAATTCAATTCTGAAAGGTTTGAAAAGAGTAGAACATTCTTCAAAGAAATGATTTCAAACCCTGAAATGATGCAAACTAACACAGAATTCAAATGTGTGGCTAAGCCAACACACGTCCAATGGGAATGTCTCCTACTGTGTAAAATTCCTATTGCCCAAAGGTCATGTATAAACTTGTCAAATATAGTAATGAGCTTCACGCATCTGTGTACATCACAAACCTAGCAGGGCACTTACAAGTATATAAACCATTGGGATAAATTATTTCCTTGACTTCTTGGATTACAGTGTTATTGGAACTTGGCATTCGAGGGAATTGGAACTTAATGAACTTCAGATGAACTGGGACATGGGTAGTTGCCTCTAATGAATCATTGTGACAGAGGCTTCTTTCCTTCCCTTTTTCTTTTCTTTTTTTATTATTTTTTTAATAGGAAAGTGAGCTGGGTGAGAGTCACAGTTTATTTCCATCAAAAGCTCACTGAGAATCTGCAAGGTGAGTGGGGATATGAGCCTTTGTTTCGATGAATAGCTTCACTTGCTGAACACGAGTTATCCAGCAGTTTGCCAAGCATCTAGAGGACAGGTCTTTCCACTGTGTTTTACAAAATCAGCTTGGGAGCAATTTAAAGCACAACGATTCTCCCAAACAGTTCATCACTCAAAAGCCACCTAACTTCCCACTGGCACACTCTCAACATCAACCCAGGAGACTGCCCTTCGGTTTTCAGGCATGAAGAAGGGTTTGCTTCTATTTCAAAGGAGGAAGTTCCAAGGCAAAATAAAAATGATGCAATTACACAATTCAGAAACTCAAATCAAAAGACACGAATGCTGACATCAACGACCCCCCCAAGATGAATTTCACTTACAAGTGATCATTTCCATATACCCAATGTCTGACTCAGAGTATTGTGCTTCTTAACAAAGAAGACAAATTTGAGCCTACCACATACTCACTTAATTTTCCCTCCCTCTTCTCCTTTCTCTCCTCCTGCCAACCCCGCAGCTACATGTAAGTTTGCATCCCTACCCATTTGCCTATAAACTATGGGGCAGCAGCTACCATTTTAGTCCCTAGAGCAGGCACAGAAATCACAACTAATCACCAAGCAATTAATCTGAGTGTAAGTCACACGATATCCTGAATAACCATGGGGAACCAGAAAAATAAAAAGGAACATCTTCTTCCTGATGCAATTTTTTTTCTCCTCTCTACTCCAGATGAAAGAACAATGCTTATTAATGACTGAGATATTATGTAACTTAAAGCAACACGATGATTGGGGGGACATGCTTCAGGCAGAGCCCAGCTCCTCTGTGTTCGGCTTGGCTAACCAAGGTCTCTCTGGCAATTAAAAAGCCTCCACCTTTATTCCCCTGAAAGGCTTTTCAGAGGCTGATGCTGCCAGTTTCTACCAACATGCTCAATCAGACACATCGTCAGGTTAGCAGCCTCTTAAACTCAAGCAGGTTGAAGTCTACCGCTAACTTCAGAATTTTCTCTTTGACTCTGACAGAGCTGCACAGACCAGGAGAGACAGACCCAGATAGGCACTGCCTCCCAGAGGTGTTGGTGCTGTCACAGATGTCCGCTCTCGTGGTGATGGAGCTCAGAGGGAGAGAGGGGCCAGCTGGCCAGGGAGACCAGAAGGTTGTACTTTCCTTGTCCTTTTAGCTCATCACCAGTCAAACTAGTTTACAGGCTGCTCTCTTCGTCAGACTGTACTGGTTCTGAAGCCAGACCATCAGGGTTAGAATCCAGTTACACAACTCCTGGGCAAGTTGCTCGTCCTCTCTGTAACTCAGTTTCCACATCTGCGACATGGGCATAATACTTCCTAACCTCATGGGATTGTTGTCCTGTAAGAACCGATTTAGTTCATCATTAAAAGTCTATCAAGTACTTGGTGGTGGTAATGGCAGTGATTATATTGAAAGAGACCAAATCTTCTTTGTATCTGTACTCCCAATGGTTCACCTAGTGTTTAACCAGTAGGAGAGACTTAAAAGCATGCTAATCATGTAGCCTTGGGCAAGACATTTAAATTCTCTGAGCTGGAGGAAGGAAAAACCTGCTGGGGAGGCAGGAGAGAAAACAGAGATGAAACAAGATTGGCAAGTATCTGTAATTCTTGAATCTGGGTTTCACGGGTTTCTTGACACCAATTTCATTATTCTTACGTGTGCTTGAATATTTCTATAGTAACATCTAAACAAAAACTATTATCTGAGCCTCGTCTCTTTCACCTGTAAAATGAAGATAATGAAGGCCTTCTTGCTGGAAAGGATTAGAGACAGGTGAAGTGTGAGGTGGGACATGGTAAGGGCTGGACTGACAGTAGCTGTGAACCTTATTCCTCTTACTAGCACATCAGCCCAACTGCTACACCAGCAACATCTAAATACAAGCACCATGTTCCACAGTCTATAGCTTAGATTTTTGAAAGTCTAGAACCTCTGTTATATCAATGCACTCAAATAGTTTCTCAAACCATGATTCAAGCTAGCCAAACACATAGAAGTTAATAAATAAACCTGCGCACCGGTTTATTGACTTACTCTGGAGCTGCTTGGGAGACTCCAATAGTAGTTGGAAAAGGCAAAAATCAAGATCAACAGGATCCCAATAAGCATTCTTTTGGCTAGAAAACATATAATAAAACCGGAATTCTGGTAAGTTCATGCCAGCAACTGAGCTATGCTCATCACTTAGTCTCTCCCAGACTAAAAACAGGAAACCAACTAAAATCTCACCTTAGCCCCCTCCCCTTTCCACATACTGTCTGTCCCACCTTCCCTCATGCTTCCCTCCAAGCCTCATTTCTTGAGAAAACATTCTATGTGTGTCTCCATTCATCATCTCCAACTCTTACCCTTATTCTAATTTGGCTCCCACAAGTCTTCAGAACTACTCTCCACCTCGGGTCACCCGTGACCTCACTGCCTCTCTAATGTCAGTCATGCAACATTTTAGCCTTAGGGTTTCATTGCCATAGTTCACACATCGCCACCTCATTCTACATGGATGACCCCTCTTTCCTTTCTAAAGCCCTCTTTTCCCTGACATCATGCTATTCTGGCTCCTTCTCCCTGTCTGGCCTCATCTTTACAGGATCATCACCCCTTCATTGCCGTTAGAGGTTATGGCCTGGCTCAGTTCTACCCCTTTCTTTCATCATTATATGCTCTCTTCCTAAGATCACCCATATTCCCAAAATGGACACTTTTCACCCAGAACTCTCCTGTGAATTTCAGAACCACATAATAAGCACCACTTGACATTGCCTTTTAAGATGCCACAAAGTTATTTTGTAATATGTAAAAAATTAAAGTAAGACAGCTTAATCTTTTTATTTTATTTTTGTGTGTTGGGGTGGGTAGTTAGGTTTATTTAATTTTTAGAGGAGGTACTGGGGATTGAACCCAGAACCCTCTACCACTTGAGCTGTAGTCCCCTCCACTGTAAAAAAAATTGGATTCATCATCTTCCCCTCAACCCAGCTTGCCTCCTGCATTCCCCACAAGATCTAGTTCTACATGTCAAAAGTAGTTACACTGTTGGATCATAAAATCTATGTTGAGTAGTAGAGAAGTTAATATTAAAGCGAGCAAGGACTGACAGAAATCATGGCAAGGTCAATGGATTAGAGGTCTCCGGGGTGGTCAAAGAAAATGAATGGAACAGGCTGGAGATCATCAATGAAATGCTTACAACTGAGGAACAGACAGGCCAAAAGTTTTGATGAAGGGAAAGAACTGTATTACAGTCACTGCTAACCACGACAGGGGAAAAAGGCACCTCCAAATTACTCTCATTCATTTGTTTTTGCCACGGCTCCCCAGCACATGTCACCATGTATGGAAGTGTCCAGCAGTATTCACACCAGGTTATTGCAACACACGTCACAGTTTTTATATTTATTTCTACGGGCAGGACCAGAGTTATTTCTAAATTACCTATAACAGTATTTTTCTTAAAAAGAACAATAATAATAAAAAATAAGTAGACCTACTGAGGATAATATCAATGTCCACTAGAGTCTTGTACAAAAAAAATAAAATTAAAAAGAACATCACAGAGAAAACATAGCTATAATAGGCACATTAGTAAAATTCTGCACATACAAAAAGTCTGCGAGTAATACCTAAAGCAGACATTGAAAAAAATTTTACTTCTGTAGTAATGGCTTAAAAGGTAAATGTGGATAAGCAAAATGAGTCCCAATATATTTTATTTTTCAGAAACACCTTACACGTGGCATTGTAAAAGAATGATCCTGCACCTAAGGTTAAAAAAATAAAAGCAAGAATTTGCATTCCTAGTAAATAGCTATGACACAGGAGATGCGACTCAGTGCTTCTTATAAGGTGACAGAAACAATGAAGTTTACATTATGTTTC